CAGCGTTCTGGAGGGCTTGTCAATTACTTGACTGAGCAGCCCACGGCTACTCACCCAGGACGCACAGTTCCCGCGCTAACTGAGGGTGGGAAACGCAAGCTGACCAACGCTGGAGACGCACACTCCTCTCTCTCTCTCTCTCCTCTTTCATTGTCTCCTTTTGACCTCCCCCCGCCCCCGCCCCAAGAGGGACGTTTAAGATTTAGACAGCACTCCGTTACTTATCACCAGAAAATTTTTGCTACGCAAAGGAGCTTGTGTCACTCAATGCTGGGCGTGGTAGGAGATGTGGAACCGATGAGACGCGAACCCATCGGCCGAGTCATATCTAGACAACTCACACAAGGACATACCTATGGCGAGAACCAGTGCTAATTGAGAAGTTCCTGTGAGTCTGCTTTTCGACATATGAAGGCTGCTTAAGAAATACTTATCCGTTGCGCTTCGATGTTGAATAGAGAAGACTAATAACGTGGTTTTTTAGCCTGTAACAGTGGATTCTAATTGCCCCCGAAGGATGAGTTTCTTTTACCAAAGATCAGGATTTGCGGACTAATAGCACCCACAGCGAAGAGGCAAAGATGATGTTCTTGTTTTGTCGCGTCTGCTGCTGTAGCAGACAATTTGCTGCAGACCTTAACACATGTTTTTACAAAGAGTTGATTACATTGTAGATGAAAACTAAGGGTCGTATCTAATTCGGCCGTTGCGCAAAGTTCCTTAACCGTCGCTGGGAAAAAGCAGGGACACATTTCAGTAGTTTGGTGTTTGATTCACCATCAGGAAAATCCCTTCATTGTCCTTCAAGAACCTCGTTCCATTGCACCCGTTTTTCAACGGCTTCAATCTAAGCTCTTGACGCAATTCAGATTTCGAAATGATAATTTCCCTTAGAGTTCCCACCTGTTCAGCACACGCGTAATTTGAAAGTGAAGCACCTCAAGCATCAAGTCAAAAATTAAAAATATTTACCAACCCTAAAAGCTCCGCGCAAAGGATCCCATCAAGTGTCTATTGCTACACTTATGTCTAAGTGGCCGAAAGCACCTGCAAAGCCCTTCCTTATGGGCTCAGCTGTGGACAGGTAAATATGTACAAGACGGGAGGAGTAACTATTACCTCTTCTGTCTTTCCCTATATCTGTAATTCATTTTTAGAAAATTTCCGACACAGTCCAGAGGACCTGGGTCCGCGGCTCCATGATAGAGCCCGTGACTAAATGACCACCGGAATTCACGATAAATTACTGGCTTCTCCTTCTCCGAGACGGTTACATCCATATTCCTAATTATGGTAGGGAATTTTGTAATGTAGCACTTTAATCACAATTTCCGGTTGGCCAAATATTTGCGGCGGATAGCTTCTAAGGTTTCCCGCTCGACGGGATTAGAGCAAGAGGTCGCAGACTACATTGCCTAAACGGCGCATAACTTCGTTACGTAGAGACTGCAAAATATTAAATGTCTTTTCTTTCTCTCGATACAAGTGACGGGTACACAGGGGTCTCGGTATATGTTCAGTGGCCTAAAAGTCAAGTGTTTAGGAAAACGACAAATATGACGCAAGTACTGAGTTTCGACAAGAGTCACTCAGTCAGCCACAAACGCACTTGCGTAAAGGCGCCACATCGGCTTGTTCAGACGCATTGCAGTTAAATGGAAGACAAGGTTGCCGAATTGCAATACCTCAGACAGGTGTCCAGAGTGAGGGATTGCCAGCGCAACTTCGTCAACTGGTGCCTGTGCATGCGACACGAGATATGAAATCTCACTGGTCAAAATTTTTGCAAGCGCTACTCTATGTCAGGAACGTTTCGGACGCCATCAGCCACCCTCTCACACCACATAGATTCGGGAGTGTACATAAACAGAGGCAGCCAATGGGCGTCAGGGAATGAGGTCGAAGGGCTCACTTGCACTGCAGGAAGGGCCTGCATTCGTTTACTGTATCAGGTACAGTTGTGAGCAAAGTAACTGCACAAAGTACTTGAGGCTAACCTAGACACGGATGGCCGAACACGCAACAGAAGTGGTGAGAGGGCATGACACCGGCTCCTAGCATATTTGCGGGGACCCGGTCACACCTCTAAATTTGACGAGGCCGGAGTTCTCGTGAGGGGTGAAAACCGCCTGAGCCATGGTCCTCCTATGTCCAACAGGTGCAGTGATTTCCATCATCCATGTTCGTTGTTGAGACTAAGCCGGCGGGGCACGCAGGCGAACAGTGCTTCCAGTGCCGATATCGGTGAGCCAAGTTGTCCACTAACTTTCACACCAATGACCAACGCCAAGGGTGAGATTGCAGCGGGCAGCCATCATGATCGGTCTGGCGCCGTTGTTCAGGACCTCGCTGTCTCAAGGTCAATCACCCCTTTGCAGTGAACTGCTCCAGACGCGCTGACCTGAAATCACACGACCGACAGCTCGGACATACCTGCGTCCGCACAGCCGCAGCTGTCCATACGCCACTTGAACGCGCCATCCTCTGCAACCAGCAAAACAAGCCACTGGGACACCACCACTCTCAAATGCAACACGCACACTGACTGGACACCACTTGAGCTTGACCCACGAGCCTACAAAAGCGGCTGCCACCACTATCTCAGGGACACTCAGGCCTGACTGGACGCAGTCAACACTAGCCCTGGCTTCGCCAGTGGGCACTGCCGCCTGAAAGGACAACTCCGGGTTCGGTGCCCAATAAACCCCTCATTCAGCTCACAAACTACATACATTCGCACTGCTGCGTCACTACAAGATGGCCGCAATTAACGACTCGGTTGAAAACGGTCAAACCATTGTTGCACCCTGTTCAACCATCCACAGTGGATGCGGGAGTTGTCAATTCTAATTCAAAAGTGGTGAAATGGCATAGGCATCTTATAATATACTACAACCTCTGTGCACTCATCACTTTTATCTGACGTTGTCTCTGCCGATGGATCCCAGTATGAATCCGAATCGCCAGACGAATAAAATGCTCGTCTCAGAGGCGCGTCTCCTTCTTCTCACCGGCCTTCCTTCTCTTCGTCCAACTTGTTCCAAGCAAACAAACACGTGGGAACACAGTAATAAATGCTTGGTAGCGGGTTCAGTTCACTGATGATAATTAAGAGAGTGGTTGATGATCAGTTCCTCTTCTTCCTTCTCTGGGAGAGTAAAATTCACATTTGGACATGTGAATAGGAACTTCCTCTCCCGTATTACAGGTGGTCTTGTGCAAAATCCCAGGGGAGTCACCTATTGCCGTGTCCTGACCCTAATTCTCCATGGAATTTAACTCTAGGTCATCCGAAATACATGGTGTATCTAGTTGAGTGTCCTAGCAGACTCGATTTGACCACGTCACCTCCGAAATCGAATGTTGTTGGGAGGATGGCTGAGAAAAGAAAATTTCGGCATGGATAGAAATAAAAGCAAATTTTAGAAATGATTTGTCCTAAAAATGACCCGGTCACATAGGCAATGACAGCTTAGGTGTGGTCATGGTCTAAGAACTGTCACAACTGATGATCACTAGTCTGATAACTACAATAACTATTACATTATATAAGGGAGTTACCAAATCTAGGTGCTTGTGGGCTTCGAATGAAAAGAATCAAGGACAATTTGTGGGTAGGGGAATTTGTCCATTTAGATAGAAAATGTGGGACTGGATTTGAGGTGGCAATATTAAAAACACAAGTGACGATTGCTTTTAGCAACCTAGTGC